AATATTGACAACTGATTGCTGCTAGATGAGGAACAGCTGACCCTCCTAAAACAAAGACCTCTAGATAGGCTGATTAGATTCACCAGAAAGGCAAGTAGTGGAGAACGGCTGTATGCCGACAACACAGCAGACAGTAGCAGGGATATCAGAGTATAAGGGCTCTAGTGGGGGAGGGAGGCTATGGGAGGGTGACATCTGGGAAGTGGGTGTATAATTGAATGAGATGGTTTGGGATGTTCTGTGTGATACACACACAAAAAAAAATGAATAAATTTTTTAAAAATGTATTATATTTGAGGAGGAAGCACAGAAATTTATGTCATTCTAATTAGCAGAGGTGATAAACATTACCATTGAAATCTATCCAATGACTTTATACACATACTCAGGCACCAAGGATCCAAGTGCAACCGACTATGACTAGTAATAATCAGATACGTACAGATTAGAGATGCATGCGCCAACATCTCCGTGTTAGTAGCAAAAACAATGAGTCTTTCTGCAAGGAACAATATATTCTAAAATGAAATGAAGAACTTTTTTAAAGTTCAAAAACTCATTCAATTTTATGTCTTACACAGTTTATACTGAGTTCAATATTGTAGAACTGTATTAATTTATCTGTAAACCTAGAAACTTATAGCCACTTGTTAAAGAGATGTACTCTTGCTCTGGAGTTTGTTACCGAATATGTTAAAGCTGTAATGAAATGCTTCTTCTAATCATGTAGTTATTAAATTTTTTTTTAAAAAGTATCCGTACACCACTAAGGACAATTCATTGTTTATTGATTAAAAATCAAGGAAACATGCAGTAAAATACAAAGTCAAAAAAGGGAAAAATTGAATATTTTACATCTTTCATAATCTAGCACACATGGTAAGAAGGACCTTCCACTTACTGATACATCTTTATTCTACCCTCCAAATTATTAAATAGGCTCAGCTGGCTCTAGGATTTGGTTCAAAACAGAAGCAAAAACCCCAGCAACTCCATTAGTCATTTAGAAAGACCATACATTTCACAAACAGCATTGGCACATATGACCTTGTGCTATGGTTAGTCCCAACTCCAGGGACAAGGGTGTCTTGAGGACTGAGTGACAAAAGTACACCCTGAACCACTGCTCCTGGCAAGAAGGGAGGCAGCTCCCTAGGTTACATGCTGTCCCACCTGGGCAGTTTCTGTTCACTTGTTTTCTCAGCTTCACTGCACAAGCCAGCAGAGGAAATTCACCACACATCATGCAGAAGAAATAACACTGTCCTGGGACTCGATGCCTATGCCTAATTCCCAGACAAGCAAACAATGAACTGAAAAAGAAAGCCCCAGCCCACTTTTGCTATCATGCCTGCCCCCCACAGTAGAGCAAAGGTAATGATGGTCTGGAGAAAGTGAACAGGAGGGGCTGCTGTGTGGTCCCAGTCTGCTGCTGGACTAGCAAGTCAAAAGTCAGAACAGAGTGGTGCCACACACTCCTCCATGCATTCATAAATGAGTGAATTAAAGTGAGTTGTCTGAAATCAAAACAGATTCTATGGTGAGCCACTAGTCTTGTGTCAAAAAGATGACACTGTCTCTTTTCCAGATCTCATTCCCATCTCCCTGTCCTGACCTCCTATTAACCCTAACCTCAAAAAGGAGGAGAAAATGAAAAAAGGAGAGAGAAAAAAAAGAAAAAAGAAATCAACCACTAAGTGTTTTTCCAGCTAGCTGGCCAATCTTTTTTCTCCCTCCTAGCTCAGCAGGCTCTCTCCTTCATACCAACCCTGCTGGGACCTTGGACTTTAGTGTCTAGTCTACTCTAATCTATTCTCCTAACCCCCATCTCAAACCCATACCCTCTCTTCCTCTTCAACATCCCTTTTCCAATATGCCTTTGTACCCACAGCGAGTAAAGAAAGCCCATGACTGAAAACTATAGGCTCAGAATAAATTAAACAAAAGGCGAGACAAGTCAGATATGGGGAAAACTTTCAGGTGTGTTCCAAGAGAAATCTAGAAAGAACCATTTGCATGAGCAAATCTGGGATGTGAGCCCTACAACTGTGTGGGGTGGGTGAACGCACATTCGGCAATCCTGATCATAAGACCAACAATGACAGGTGCAAGTGATTTTATAAAAGGCAACTCTTCCTTTTCTGTGGGCCCATAGCCCATCTTTGTGTGTCTCTTTAAGGCCAGATCGACTATCTCATTCTTATATAAAACTTGGTAGGCTTATTAGCAATTAGACAAAGGTTGACTATGAAACAGTAGGAAAAAAGAAAAAAAAATCAATCCTATTGATTATTCACATATTGCATTGAGTGCTCTTTTTAAACCTAAAGAATAATTTATATAATTTCTATAGAAAACCAAACACTGTCTACTCATAAATCCTAAAGGTCACGGCACATGTGGTTTCATGTTCCATCTTCAGTCAGGTTTAGCGCACAAAGACCCCCTCCAAAAAGTCAGTGCAGGAGAGGAACAGAAGGCAGGCCTCTAGCCCAGTGTGAGTCACCTTTATTGCTGTAGAAATCTCAGCCTTGTACACCCACTTTTTCATGACTTAGAGGCCAGGTAAATCAATCTTCATGAAGGATCAATGAGCAGTTTTTCTTCAGTTTAATTATTTTGTAATTGAAAATACTTTCCTAATGATATGCCTATGACTTTTTTTTTTCTGTTCAAAAACTACCTATGGCAAGATTTATAAGCCATTGCTTGATGTTTTCTACAAAAACATTCCAAAGGTTCACTTGAAGGATCAGATGGCTAAAGTTTGACTATAGTCAAATGTTTTGCACCGGCTGAAGTTAAGGCTAGCAACCCTTTCTGGAGGGAGCAATGAAGGGGGTGCCTGAGAGCAGCTTCAGCAAAACACTTAGAGACACCATGAACAAAACAGACACAATTAGGCTGCCTCTATCTAAGGCTGTGCTTTTTCCTAATAATGGTTGCTAGAATTCACATCAGGTTCAAAGAAAGAAAAAGAAAAAAAAACAAAAACCAAAAAACCAATAAACACTAATTAAATCTCTGGGCTCCAGCTGAACAATCAACTTTTAATTGCTACTTCAGTGTTAAAAGAGATATCCCAAGATGCCCAAATCCTGGCAGGTGGTGAGAACAGGCACAATGAAGATGCCCA